CGGTTCCCCATGGGGGCGGTGCCATGGTGGCAGCAGCTGCGGCCACCCAGCTTGCCGTGCCGGGCAGCGTTTGCTGCTGCTGCCCACCCGGAGCTCCCATGCTGGGCAACACAGAGGCAGCGGTGGCAGCTGCGCTGCAGTCTACTGTGGCACAGGCTCCGGGCAGGCAGCAGCAGCACCAGCAAACACTGCCCAGCGTGGCAAGTGAGGGAACTGCAGCTGGTGCCACCATGGCTCAGCCCCAATGGGCAAGCCCAAAGCCGGGCTACAAGCTGGTGCTGAATGTGGGGAAAAAGTGGCCCCTTGCCCACCCCATGGCCAGCACCCTGTGCTGCAGCCGCTCACAGCCCATATGGGGCTGCCTGTGCCTGCTCAGGACAGCCCTGCACAGGCGGCAAGCTACTGCAGCAGGGAGCGCCGGACATGGGGTGGGCAAGGGGCCGCCTTTCCCTGCACTCCGCACCAGCTCCTGTCCTGCCCTCCCCACCCCGCCATGCCCGAGTTTCCGGCACCGGGGCAGCCATGTGGTCCCAGGCCAGAAGCCCCAGCCTTCTGGCTGAGGGGGCAGGGCTGGGTGTGCCCTGCTGTTGCAGGAGCCCGCCAGGCTTCCCCTGGCTCCTACTGCCCTTGGTTCCTGTCATTTTTGGCAGGAACCAAAGACAGATAAATTTTAATTTTAAAAAAATTTTTAGGGGCCCCACAGGCCTAATAGAATGGCCGTGGGCCATATTTTGCCCACCCCTGGTTTAATTGCACATACTTCTCTTTGTTTTACAATTGTGAAGAACAGGGCCCTGGGAAAAGTTTCAGACAGTTCCTAAAGAATGAGGTTATCTGTTTTTCTACTGAACTGGTGTAGCAACTAGGGATTATAGTTCAAATGTGCTTAATGATGCTTCTTAGTCTTAACCTTTTGTAGAGAGAAGGGAAATCATTCTCCATGGCCTGTGAAATCCTTTAACCTATGCAACGCACCTGCCAAATGTGCTGCCCTGAGAGACTAAACAAGCTTCATCTATTTAGTCTATTAGATGCAGTTAATAAATAAATGGATCACACTGTATATAGCATAGGGGCTTTTCATCTAGAAAGTATAGGGAAAACAAGATCCTGTGGCAGGAAGCTAAAGCTAAGCAAATTCAGACTAGAAGCATGATACAGCTTTTTAACAGTGAGGATAACTCATCTTCAGAACAGCTTGTCTGAGAGTGTGCATCACTTGAAATCTAATTTTGATGACACTGAAATAAATATTCTGTAGCTCAAAGAAAAGCATGGGGCTTAATGCAGGAAATACTGCATTAAAATCTCTGGCCTGTGGTACACAAGACTGTATTATCACTACACTGACTTCTGGTCTTACAAACCTATTAAACTTTTCCACTGATTGGTTCCACTTGGCAGCTGGTAAAGCAAATTCTAGTGACAGTTATGTTTGGAGAGATCATACACTTTTGTGTACCATTCCTCTCCACTGACAGGAAATGAGTTTAACGTACATAAAAAACTTCCAGGAAATTACAGAATTCAAAAAAGAACTGGGTCATCTCTCTACTGCCCAAAGCCAGGCCCCAGCCTAGGCCTGAGACCTGAGCCTAGCTCACTGAACTCCTACTCCATGTATGTCTGTCTAAGCCAAGGGTTCCCAATGTTTGTGTGTCCAAGGGCACATCTGAATTTAAAAGAAAAAGCAGCAGGTGCCAATATGAATATTAAAGTTTAGAATTTAGATCAATCAGATCATCTCATCCGTTACTTAAAACTGCATTAGATCTGCAACTTCAAAATGCAGCTTTCCTTTTCTTACAAAAATATTTAGGTACAAAATATTTGTTGGAATAATGATTTGTACTGATAGTGAAAATGCACACAGGCACCTGAATAAATCTCAGGGTGCACCATGGCACCCGTGGACACTGCATTGGGAACTGCTGGTCTAAGCTCAGCTGTTAGCCAGGCTTAGGGGGATGTTGAGCATGTCATTGATGACCTTGATCTTGAACATGATCTTGAACCTTGTCATTACTCTCAGACTCTCCTGAGACACAGACCTTAAGAACAGTACTGGAGCGCACATTCAGGGCTCCTCTCAGCCATCTACTCTACCAAATTGCTGAGCCTGAACATAAGCAGACCAAAAGGAAGAAACCAGTCTTTTATTAGACCAGTCTAATAAAAGGTATCATTTCGGAACCAAGAGTTCTAGATTTTTGTATTTCTTTTCGTCTCAGACCAGCATGCTACCAAGTACATCCCTGAAACAAACTGAGGAACTGATGACTCCTCCTACATCAGGTAATCAAGCAAACATCTTCATTAGATTCTCTCTCATTTTGAAGCATTACAAATGTAACGACAGCTCTTATCTTTGTTTCTTTGTTTATGCGCTCTGCAGCACCGAGGGTTGCCAAGAGTGATGTTTCATTGACACCTTTCTCTCCTTGGTGGGTGTGATTTCCTGCCTGTGCCACAATTAATTCAACCTGGAAAACAATTCATTGATACAGTGTGGTATTTTCTTACCACTCCATCCTTCAAGCTGAGAAGCCGGTGGTGGTAATTTCCACCCTTTCCTATTTTCTAGAATAGAATTACTGATAGCTGGCTGCTAACATTGCATATTTGCTGACAAAGATTATCTATAATTAACTCATAGAGTGTTAAGTGATGCATTTTTCACTTGTTTACTTCAATATGGAGTGCAAAATTCCTCAACTAACAGCATACTTTATATATACCCATAATTCCATATACTTTATATATACCCATAATATACCCAGATATTCATGGACTCGCATAGGAATCTGACAGACCATATGGACAGACTGCCCAGTTATCTCTGTGTAGGTACCATGTCCCACAAGCTAACATCTTGTGCCTGCACCACAGAGTCTGAATCCACACAACATGTACAAACAAGGTCAAAATTATCTTGCATGGGAAAACGCTAGTAGGATTGCAGTAGTGAAGGAAGCTGCAAAGACCTTTAACCTCGGCATGCCACAGCTTGCCTGAACCCTTGGAATCCTGGATATTCAGAGGAGCTTTAATAACGTGTTGCAGGAAAGGAGAATGTTAATTTATACCATTCCTATCTCAGACTATTGGGCAGTGGAACAGGTGTGCTATACTTTCCATTCTCATTGTCACAAAAACAGAGAGGATGATATGGAATATGGCTCTCAATCATATGGTTAGTCAAGTTGCAAAAAGTGATCAGTGCTGGATTAGCAGCACAGTATTACTATATAATTATTAAGAGTTGTAGAACTTTTCTTCCTGAGAAAGAGAACATTTGCTGCCTTAACTATATTTATTACATAAGTTCTACTTCATCAATAACTTAGATAAGGTATAGGGCAAAATAGCTGCAGTTGCTTCCTACTGACAGCTATTAGAGTGCCTCATAGGTAGGAAAAAATCATCTCATTTCACAATTAGTCTCCCATGCTTTATAAGCACTCCCAAGATAGAGGGTCAAATCCTTAGCTAACGAAAACTGATGTTGCTCCGTTGATTTCCAATATATTTACTACAGCTCTTTCAGGGAACCCTAAGGTCATATTTGTTTCCTGCTTTCAGGAAATGAGTTTTTTTTTTCATTTAACAAAACTTCTTTCTTCATGTTTGTTTTTCTAGGGCAGTGCTATTTACAGTACCATTCATTGGCTGAAGCTAAGGATAGAACAAAAGGAGGAGACTCGCAGTAAATCAGGTTAGACTGATTGAAACACTGAGGCCTTGTCTTCACTAGGAGAAAAGGTATGATGTTCTTACCCTGTGATGTCTGATCTGTGGTAACAAATACACAGTAAAGTCTTATTGAAGACAAGGTAAACAGTAGTATTACAATGTATTAGCAGGTCACCAAACTGCGTTGTCTTCAGAAGGTTTTTACTGTATGCGAGTTACCATGGGTCAGCTAACAACAAGTGAGGACACCCTTCCTTTCCTAGTGTGGATGAATCCTCAATGTTTGTTTCTATCTGTTCCCTATTTTGTAAATGTCAAAATTGATTAATTTATCATGGATGACTGAGATTCCCTGTCTCAAATGAGACTGTTAGACCCACCCAAGAGGAAGGCAATATCCCCACAGGCTTGAAAATGATGCCTTAGTGTTAAAGCCCGTGTCTAAGATACCATTAAAAGTATGTCTACACATCCAGACAGTGGAACCCTCAAATGTCCTGTGCTGTTCCATGTGGGCAGTCTTCCGAATCAGGCGCAGTACAGCATCATCGATTCGGTGCTCTGGGTGCACAAATTAGCACTTCACCTTGCAAAACACTTTCCCCCAAGGAAAGTCACCCACTGTGAGTGCAGCACCAATGTGGCCACATCATGTCCAGTTTAGGAGGCCACACTTGGTGCAATCCAGCATACCTGAAGCCAAACCCCTGCCTGGCATGGTGAGTTTGCTGTCTAGACACGTCTTAAGAGCTGTAGGACTGCAGAAAGCCACCAGTGTTGTCAAGACAGACTCTGTCAATGTTACTATCTAACTCCATTGGTGTTGTTCAGGAGTTAGGAGTTTCTGGTCACATCACACTCCTTTAGTAAGGATGCAAGTTCTGTCAGGATAACTGTTTGTCATGCTGTGCCCCTAACAATCTGATTGTTACAAGAAAGAGACATTGGTGCCAAAAAGCCTGGCCTGGTTTATTGTGTACAAACAAGGCTGTGCATTAACTAACAGGTGCATGGTGCTAGCTAGTCCATGACTAGCAGGTTCATGATTCTAGCTGGGTCATTTGCGGGCATGGTATAGGCATGGACATAACCCCTAAGGATTAAGGGTTCCCAGGTCCTTTTTTATACACCAATCAAAATAACTTTGTTTTTACAGCATACACAGCATAGTTCTCACCAGCTACTAAAATAGCTTTAAGTGACATCATCCACATCCTACTTCTCACCAATTAGTGTACCCTTCACACCAGATGAGGACACCTGTTTACCAGGTTACTTTGATCTTTGTTTCTGTAGTCTGTACTAGTCTTATCAATTCATTCTCTATCTGTTGTCCTTGAAGCACCTCTAAAACTAACAAGCTATATTTCCAGCACTTCTCTATAATCCATATATGGTATGCTTAATCTCATATTCACTGGGGCTTACTTCAGTTCACGCTGTTAGCAGGGCCTGTGTGATTTGTATATGCGCTGGTCAGTGTTTATATCAATCCATACTCCAGCAAGGCCTAAAAGAGGGCAAAACAGAACACAAGTGTGAAATGTGTGGAGTTCAATTATAAGGCCATTAAATCAGCAGCAATGAGGTTTACCTCAACATAAAGGGCATGGATGGATATGATCTCTTTAAGAAAAGTGCTAGAAAGGTAGGTTTACAACCATCTATTCAAGGGAAAGCCCAAATACTCAACTACTGTGCAATGAATCACAACTTAGAAAACAGGCTGCTTGTAGACATGGGGGTGAAGGGACAGTGCTTTACTTTAAACTCAGTGCACTCCCACACTGAGCCCAGCGCATGTTCAGAAGAGACCTGGCATTAGTTGGCCCTGGCTTTCCCAATGTCTATATAGATCAGGTGCTTCCTCAGGGCTTTTTGGAGCTTTTATCTAATAGCTGATTCAATCAGCTATTAGGTAAAAGCACCAAAAAGCTTTGCTGAAGCACCTGATCTATACAAATGCTGCTGGTCAAAGTAATGAGTTGCTGCTTCTGGTAAAGTGCATTTTTGGAGTTTTGTGGGGCTTTTTCCCCACATTTGTCAGTGCCCACAGTTATTTTAAAAAATAACCTGTTCAAATGCTTTCAAAAGGCGAAACACACAATATGAACAGAGAAACTATGTTAGTATGTGCTCAAAGGAATGAATAGCCAATGGTTATCAACTATCCCTAACCTACCCTTCACTTACCATGAATGACAACCAGTTGAAGCATTAATACAGGGTAGAAAGAGATTAATAAACATCAGACTGGATGACATTAAGTGATGCAACAGAAGGGCAAAAGGGAGACATATTTAGACATCTCTATGAGTAGTAAAAGACAGTCATAAATATGGTCTTTAACAAAACCATTTGCCCTTTATAAAAAAAAATATTACCACATACTCAAAAACTGGGCAGGATTTTCTACCAGGTGCCAGGTAGATTTGTCATCATAATCAGGTTTTACATTTTTTCCCTCCAGTGTATTTAAGCACAAGGTAGAAATTTGACTTTTTGGAAAGCTGTCATCAGTTTTAGCTGATCAGAAACTTTTGTCTATCAATTTTCTATGGACTTCTATTAAACACCCATCAAAGGCAACTTTGGTAAAAATTCCCTAGCAGCCATCATTTAGGAGGGGAGCATCTTATGAACTGACAAGCTATCCTAGAAGCTGCTGAAACTCTGCTTCCCCACCCTTAAGTAAGGCTTTTTTGCTTGTTTTCACAGATGCTGTGCAGGTCCGCAAGCATGTCCAAGGAGGTGATCCTCCCCTTCTATGCAACATTGGTCAGGCCGCAGTTGGAGTACTGCGTCCAGTTCTGGGCGCTACACTTCAGGAGGGATGTGGCCAATATGGAGAGGGTTCAGAGGAGGGCCACTCACATGATCAGGGGGCAACAGGGCAGGCCCTACGAGGAGAGGCTACAGGACCTGAACCTGTTCAGCCTCCACAAGAGAAGGCAGGGGGTCTGGGGGGCCGCTATTTACAAGCTAGTCAGGGGGGACCAGCAGGCATTGGGGGAGTCCCTGTTCCCCCGAGCACTACCAGGAGTGACTAGAAATAACAGGCACAAGCTGGCAGAGGGTAGATTCAGACTAGACATCAGGAGGCGTTACTTCACTGTCAGGGCGGCTAGGGAAAGTGGTGCTCGCTCCTACCCTGGGGGTCTTCAAAAGGAGGCTAGATAATTACCTAGCTGGGGTCATTTGACCCCAGTACTCTTTCCTGCCATGGCAGGGGGTCGGACTTGATGATCTGCTCAGGTCCCTTCCGACCCTACCAACTATGAAACTATGAAACACAGCACTCGGATATCAACCAAAATAGGTATTGCTTGATTGCCTCGAGGCTTCTTGTTACCACCTGCCATCTACCTTTCATTCTCTCAAAGGCATAATACACTGTCATCCTGTAGGTGCTTAGGCAGTAGTTAAAACAGCTATTTTCTACAAGACAAATGCCCAATGAAAGGCCTCATCAGTCAGGATCCTAGAAATCAAACAGGGGCTGCAAGAAAAAGGAAGGCCAATACTCTTAATGGTGTTAGCTGCCCTGGCAAAACTCCCTTTTTCATAGGGAAACAGACAAGAGTTCCAGTAATTTTCCATGACTTGGAGTAGCACTGGTAGAGATCAGTGGCTAACCCTGAGATACACCACAAGGGAAAAACAACCTCTTTCTTATATATGAACTCCAAGACCTAGCATGGGTACAAATAAAAGGAAGTTGGGAAACCCCCAGACATACAAAGCAATGAATAACCTCCTGAGGATTGGCATACCTTACAACTTGTGGTGATGGCATCTTTGTATTACAAGGACACACCTCCACGGCTACAGCCATAGCCATTAATCTGTTTACACATACTTGGTTAGCTAAAGACTTAGAATCATAGAAAATTCAGGTTGGAAAGAACCTCAGGAGGTCATCCAGTCCAACCCCCTGCTCAAAGCAGAACTATCCCCAATTAGATCATTCCAGCCAGGGCTTTGTCAAGCCAGGCCTTAAAAAGGTCCAAAGATGGAGATTCCCCCACCTCTCTATGTAACCTGTTCCAGTGCTCCACCACCCTCCTAACGAGAAAGTTTTTCTTAATATACAACCTAAAGCTTCCTTGCTGCAACTTGAGACCATGGCTCCTTGTTCTGTCATCTGTCACCAATGAGAACAGTCCAGCTCCATCCTCTTTGGAACCACCCTTCAGGTAGTTAAAGGCTGCTATCAAATCCCCTCTCAGTGGGCACATCTACACATTGCCCTACAGCAATGTTGTTACCATGCCATGCTTTAGTACTTCCAAAAGGAAGTACTTTTGGAAGCACTAAAACACGGTACAGGAACCACCTGTACTGTGCACTGTACCCACGGCGCATGGTTATTTTTAGCAGCTATTTTGTCCTAGCAGTATGCTATAATGGGGGAGCATGTTGCTATGGTGCAGTAGTTGCCGGTCACTTGTAGACAACTGTGGATGCCATAGCACTCTACGTCAACGTAGCCTCACATGTAGACGCGCCCAGTCTTCTCTTCTGTAGACTAAAACCCAGTTCCCTCAGCCTCTCCTCAGAAGTCATGTCCCCCAGCCCCCTCACCATATTCGTTGCTCTCCGCTGGACTCTCTCCAATGTGTCCACATCCTTGCTACAGTGTGGGGTCCAAAACTGGACATAGTATTCCATATGTGGCCTCACCAGTGCAGAATAAAGTAGAATAATTATTTCCCTTGATCTGCTGGCAACACTCCTACTAATGCAGCCCAGTATGTTGTTAGCCTTGTTGGCAACAAGGACACACTGCTAACTCATACCCAGCTTATTGTCCACTGTAACCCCCTGGTCCTTTCCTGCAGAGTTGCTGCTTAGCCAGTCATTCACCAGGTTGCAGAAGTGCATGGGATTGTTCTGTCTTAAGTGCAGGACTTTGCACTTGTCCTTGCTGAACCTCATAAGATTTCTTTTGGCCCAATCCTCCAATTTGTCTAGGTCACTCTGAATCCTTGTCCTACCCTCCAGTGTATCTACTACTCCCCCCAGCTTGGTGTCATCTGTGAACTTGCTGAGGATGTAATCCACCCCATCTTCCAGACAATTAATGAAGATATTGAACCAAACCAGCCCCAGGACCAACCCCTGCGGCACTTCACTTGTAATGGCTGCCATCTAGACATTGAGCCATTGATTACTACCCATTGAGCCAGACAATCCAGCCAGCTTTCTAATCACCTTACAGTCCATTCATCCAACTGATACTTCCTCGGCTTGCTTGCAAGACTTTTATTACTCTGGAGTGCTGGGTTTAAAGATAGCAAGGGACAAGAGAACTCTTGCATTAGGGGGTTGCTTCTGTAGCTCTCGGGTAAGGTCTGCACTGATCTCCAGGAAAGTATTCTTTGTCCCTCTGAGCTTCTACAGCCATGGTTGATTATGTTGGGTCTCCAGCACAACCCAAGCTTATTTCTCAAGCTTAGAAGTGCCACTGTCCCAAGTAAAACTCCTCATGACACAGCATCCCAATTAGGTCATCCTCCTCAACTTCATCAACTTCCTCACTGTCCTCCAGGTCCTGCTGCAGGTCCAAAAACCACTGCCAAAACTTCATGGTAGCACAACTGCTGGCTTGCAAAGCTATAGCCATCTGGCAGCAAATACATGTTCACAAGCTATTCAATATTCATGACTACCAACACTGCAGCATGGAGAACTCCTTTAACCACAGTGATCTTTCAATATGTTAAAAATAGCTGCAGCCACCATGGAACAGCAAGAGAGAAAACAGGACTTTCAGAGCTTTAAATCTGAATGCAGAACATGGAGACTTTGGTTACCTTCTGTAGCCACACACAGAAAGAACAATCCCATAATACATATGGTGCAATAGCAGTGCAGAGGACCATAGATGGGGTAGGTACCCAGCCATCATGTTGAGTGCATATTTTGGGGAAGGCCGTCCTCCACACGGAAGCATGGGAAATAGAAGAGACAATCCTGACCATTCATTTGAATGCATCTGTGCTGCTTTTACACTAAGGCAGGGGCAAGCAATTATTTTGGGTGGAGGGCCGCTCACTGAGATTTGGCAAGCCATCGAGGGCCACATGACAGGCAGCCAGGGACAGATGAATATTAATTTTCTAAATTTTGTAGGGACCCCCACGGGCCAGATAGAATGCCCTTGCAGGCTGCATTTTGCCTACTCCTGCACTAAGGTGTCTCGCTGTGATTTGAATCCCCTTGTGCAGAGCAGCCCCTTACTTTTGGCTGGAGAATGCATTTGGAGGCTGCATTATATCTGTAGTGCTGTTCAAGTACCCGCCAGGATTTCTACAATTATAAGCAAACAACATTCTTTTGGTCCTGTTTGGCAATTTGTAAAAACAGAGACCTGAGTTTGCTTGCAGGCCACATAGTACAGGAATGCAAATAGATCCTTATTATTTAAATTTGTTTATTAATCTTTATAAAAACTGCACCTCTCTGAGGGTGCATTTGACTGTACCAGAAGTTAAAAATACAATCTAATAAAAAATAGAGCCAGGAACTACTCCTAACCCCACCCCAAAATACAACTAACCACAGTAAAGTAAATTCAGCCAATACTCGACTCAATAAACATACACTTTTACATTAGCCAGTATACACTCACTTTACCCCATGTCACCTACTGAAATAAAAGTGTCTCAAATACCAAGAAAAATGTCAGTGCCATAAGTTGTCAATATAATTCATTCCATTTGTTCCATTAAGACATTCTTCACCCATATCTCCTTCCCTCAGATTACTGAGTGTGAGCACAAAAGCATTCTGCGTTTACCAAGTGAAAAACATTTGCATGACTGGACTATCCTGGTACCACCAATGAATATTCAGCAGCACTGTAACATGCAAGACAACAGGGGAAAATACAGCTCTTAAGTTAATATCCTGTGCATAGCTCAGGGAGATCTGTATACCTGTCTAAAGGGTAATAGCCCACTTCAAGCGACCCATATCATAGAAAGTCAAAATTCTACGTGCAGCATGCAGTAAGGCTAGGTACAGCCTGAGGCTGAATCAATTCAGTGTTTGCAGGTTAATCTAAACTGCACAGATTAAATTGAAGCAGAAGTGAACAGACATTTACCTTTGATTCAAGAAATGCAGCAACATACCTGCAGTGGCCCAGGCCAGAAGCTTGGGAGGGGGGCACTAGAGCAGGGCCCTCTGGCTGTGTGTTCACTTCCTCTTCCTACTGCCCCCAAGGTCTCTGGGATTTGCAGTCTAGAATTACAACAGCTGGACTCTACAGGGTTTCTCATAACTTCCTCTGGGGAACTGTGGACTTCCTGTGGATTTGAAGTCCACAGTTGCAGCCTGGACTAAGTTTGAGTGGGGGAAGGGATGTTTAACCCCCCAGCCAGACTTTGCAGGGAGGCAGTCCCCCTCTGCAGACTGGGCTGCATCCCCAGCCGGGCTTGCCCTTCCCCACCCCCTTGTCAGCCAGCCCTCACTGCTCCAGCTAGAGGGCAGAGGGGAGGAGCTGGAGAGCCTGCTAGGATGCTGGGTGGGGGCTGTGATTTAACTTGAACCAGGAAGAGGGCTGGGACAGAAGTTTTATAAACCAGTTTGACCTAAATCAGTTAAGTCTGATACTACATTCAACCAAGTTTATCTCAAAGCAGTTTCAACCATTTTGAAACTGGTTTATGTTCACTGAAATTCTGTTCTGTGACAGGTTTAAACCAGTTTCTGATCACTTAAACCAGTTAATGTGTAAGGTGCCTGAGGTAGAATACCCCTGCTTTTGTCAGTGACAGATGCGTGCAGAGGGAAGGTGTATAGTCAGTGTTAGGCTATGTCGACTCACAGTTCATCAACACATTCCCAAGATAGCTTTTTTATAAGTAGCTCAAGCACACCTAACAGTGCAGCCAGAGTATCTACCTTGCTTCCTCAAGGGAGTTTTACAGTCAGTGCTGAGCTCTCTGCTGTCACAGCTACGCTGCAATTTGCACCAAAGCTAGCTAGTTTAAAGTGATCTCAGGTATGTTTACACTGCCCTACAGTCACAGCTATGATTGACATACTGGAAGTGACAATTGAGGCCAGTGAACTCAAATGAAAAAGCACTGCTATTTACACCTCACGTACTCATTGGCAACCATGGTTCTGTGCAGCAGACTCTTGCTAAACATCTTACTAGTAACAGCCTTATTTATTCTATTTCCTGTCATACAGATTTGTTTTCCTGATTAACCTGGTATCAGTTCAGGAACTTCACTTTCTCTTTAGGCATCACAACAAACCTTTATTTAAGTTCTAAACTAGGCACATGTCCCTTGAGCATGGAAAAATGAAGAAAGAGCTCAGCTTTTTCATGAGCGTTTTCCATAACTAATGACTTTCATGCCCTGGGCAAAACTCCCTGTGCTGGGAGAAGGGGGTGCCAAGAACTGGAGAGTTGGGGAAGAGGATGGTGGTCTTGCCTGCTCCCAGTGTCCCCACACCCAGTTTCTAGGACCAGGTGGTATAGGGCTGTTAATGCCATGGCAAGAACTGGGAGGGAGGCAGGAGCACCATTTCTGGAACCCCTCTAAGTCAGTGCCTGGGGCTGGTGCCTTACTCACCACTCTCTGCCCCAGTTAAACTGTTAGCTTTGTCTTCTGTGTCCAAAGGGAGGACCCTTAGCATCAGGCAACACAGTCATGTTTCATCTTGTGCTCTCTTTCTGACCCAACGGATCTACAGTACCACAGTCTCAACAGGAAAGGTGGAGAATGCCCACCTTCCATCCAAGCCATAGCCTGATGGTGGGGGCACTCTTTTGGAAGGTGGAGCCTGGGGGTTTGAAGCCTCACAGGGCTAGGGTCTGTCACTTTCTGTGTGAGCAAATGTATAAAAGAGGGATACCAAGACTTGCTCCTTTGGCTCCATTTTAAATAAATGGTCATTTCCTTCAAAGAGCAGTTGTACTTACCTATAGGTCAGGTTTCCAGACTCAGAACTAAATGGAGGTGAGTCACCTGTAGCCATAACTCAGGTACTTTTTATGCTCTAGAGGGGG